AATTAATATCTTTGTAAACAATATTTTTTATTGGGGATGATGATGGTTTTGCTTAAATTTTTTTTTTATATAAACTGGCCTTTTTTTTTACTTCGCCTATGGTCTATCAAGACCTAGGAACGGCTCTGCTCTTGATGAATCTTCTTTTTCTCCGGTTAAAGTGGTTTTAATAAAGATCAAAGGGGACCATTTTTCACCATCAACCTTTCCCATATTGCTCTTTATATTGCTTTTACATTTTCCTATTTACAAAAAGACTCTTTTTCCCCTAGAAATATCATCGTTTTGTTTCTTGTTGTCCATTTTGTGTTGTTGATTATAACTCTTAGTAGAATCAACATTTAAAGTTCAGTGAACCTAATTAATCTCTAATGTTTCATCAACACCTACTTGTACTTCCATTTATTTATATCATCTTGTCTTATGTATACCATATTCGTAACACGTATCATTCCGTAGCTATTGTTTATGGTTGTTATTTCTAAATGATGCCAATTGCCAAAGACGAGAAAACGAACAAATCCATGACAAATGTTTGGGACGATGTTTAGTAGATAAGATTAAACTCGACCGCTTAATTGTTTTGGAACTCAGAGAAAATATTGTGAAAAAACAGAACAAGAAGTGAATTTACAAATGAGTAAAAATAAGATAAGGCAGCGCGAAACAAGGATCATGGTGCGAGAATATATGCACGGTTTGTCTCTAGTCGTAAACTCGTACCGTGTGTAACTACCACTTTACCCTTTAATTGTGATTAATTAATCGTTAATTAAGTACTTTCTTATTATCATTGGTGTTTAAAGATTTATCACACAAATTAAAAAAATTTAAATTTTTTGAAGTTTCCTAAATTAAAACATCATTTATTATTATATTAAATACATTTCAACCAATAGTAAATCAAACTTTATAATATAAATAGTCAAATTAGATAAAATTCATTTAAATTTGTATTAAAAACTGAAAAAAATTATATAACTTAAAATAAAAAAGTTTCTAAAAAATCATGTAATTAGAGTATTAATAAAGTCTAGTAAATGAGACAAGCTACCTTCGTATACGTGGCAATGGTTTATTCCAAAAGGATATAACTTTGACACGTGGTCTTAAGCTATTGGATGTTTCGTTGGCCGAGGTAGTGGCTATTCATGGAAGCCAAGCAACTGAGCAAAATGATAAAAACTCAAAAAAGGGTTTCAACGAAAAAAAATAAAAATAAAATGCAATAGGTATGACATATTTCAAAAAATTGCAAAAATATCATTTTTTATGTGCATATTTGTAAAAATATTATTTACGCATGTTTATTTGTAAAATACTATTAATTATAGATTTTTAAATCCTATATCTTAAAATACTAAACACTAATGTTTTGACCCCTATTCACCAATAAAAAAATTTTTTGATCCATAAACCCTCATAACTAAATCCTAATAGAACATAATTAATCCAAACATAAATAATTTTGAAACAGTGATATTTTTATAAAAATTTCAAAAGTGTGACATTTTTGTAAAGTGACACTTGAAAAGTGGTATTTTTTGAAATTTCTCAAAAAAAAAAACTTTTGCTAAATGAATTTCTTATTTTCTTTACAAACTAATTTTTATTTATCCACAACAAGTTCAATTTATAATTTTGGTGTGTCCAATAAAAATTAAGATAAAATTGTTGTTAATATTTATACCAATACACTATTGAGTAATCAAATTTTTAATAGCCAAAATAATTATTTTCTAGAACTTTCATATATTATTTTATCCAAGATTATAGAAAAACTATAATATTAAAGAGATATGACTTATGTTCTTAAAATATTATCTTACATAAAGATGAACAAAAGCTTCATACCAAAAAACATTTTTCAAACCAAAAGAATATAATCTTTACCAAAAGACTAATTTATGATATCAACAAAAAAATTTGTACTTACTCCCTTCAATGTAGAATATATTCCATTACATTAAAAACTGGCAAAAGCTGATTTTATGCATAAATTATAACTTCAAGTTTATTTAATCACCAGAATATAGTTGGGGATTTATTCTTCAAACACAAAAGATTAGCTAATTTAAAAAAAAAAAAACTAATCACCAACCCATACAAAATCTTAATTTAAAATATTAATCGCATCACATGACCACTCTTTCTTCTCTCGTCTCTCTGTACCTTTCCCCTTCCTTTTCTTCACTCACTGCTTCACTCTCTTCTTTTTTACATATGAAAACAAACTCTGCAAATCTAACCTCTCTGTTTCCTCTTTCTTCCTCTTCCTTTATTCTCTCTCTTTGATCGAGAAAAACCTTAAAAAAGAACACTCTATTTTAATCTTCTTCGCATTGTCCGCCATTTTTTTCTCTG